TCAAGAGTCCCTCTCTGTTGTTGGACTTATTTATCCTATATCTCAATGTAAATGTTTTTTATCTTGCTTTTTTTTTTTTAATACTGTGGACAGTCTTGCGGGAGGTGTATCTTTCATCAAATTTGGTACATTTTCGGCCATTACTTCTTCAAGTGTTTTACTGCCCGCCCCTTTCTCTCTCCTCCTTCCAGGACTACTGTGAGGTATACATGGGTACACTTTATGGTCCTACAGGTCGCTCAGGTTCTGTTCACTTTTATTCGTGTTTTTTCCTATATCTGCTCCTCAAACTAGGTAATTTCAATTGCCTTAATCTTCAAGTTCACTGATTATTTCTTCCGCCTGCTCAAGTCTGTTGTTCAGCCCTTCTAGTGAACTGAAAAGTTTCATTTCAGTTATTATACTTTTCCTAAAATGGCTCCAAAGTGAGGAGGAAAGGGGAAGGGCTGTGTCCCTTTGAACCTTCCAGTTGCTGCCATGCAGGGAAGCCACAAATCAGACAAGCATCTGTGCCATCCCTCAGGGAATACCAGACCAACAAGCACATGACCCTAGATTTTTGGAAGACAAAGGCCCACTGCCTGCCCTACTGCGCTGGCAGCTTCTCCAGGAGTGTGAGCCTCTGCCTGCAGCTGCACAGGGGCTGGAGGCTGGGGCATAGTGACTGGTTCACATGTGCTGCTCCTTTAGCAAACAAAGATAAGCAGCCTCCCCCTTCATACTGGATCACAATTGCTTTTTCCAACTCAGTGGCTGCTTCAGTGGAGGGACTGAGGCCCAGTGCTTCCCACTCTGCCATTTTGTGTGATGTCACTCTCCCCATTCCAGTTTGCAGATGAGGAAACTGAAGCATAGATAGGTTCAGGAATTTGCCCAGGATGGTGCCAGATGAGAGCTCAGCCCTGTCTACCTCCAGAGCCCATGATCTGTCTTTTTTTTTTTTAAGGTTTATTTATTTGTGAGAGACAGACAGAAGCAGAGACACAGGCAGAGGGAGAAGCAGGCTCCATGCAGGGAGCCCGATGTGGGACTCGATCCCAGGACCACACCTTGAGCTGAAGGCAGACGCTTAACCACTGAGCCACCCAGGTGTCCCAAGAGCCTATGGTCTTAAACCCTTCACTATAGGACTGCTCTACATGATTTGCACCTGAGATGTATTTTTCTATTGTCCCTTAGATGGAAAACTTTTTTTTTAAAGACTGCTAGAATGAGGGGCGAGTTTAAAGTCGTCTATGATCCAACAAGCCAGAACCAGGGCTCCTCTCCCTGCCAAATACCACAGAGGCCCATGTTCTCCCAAAGCCCAATTTGTCTTAAATATTTCCGTGATACCTGCTAATTCACTTTTATGAGTTCACCAAAACTGATTATTTTTAGGAGGTATGTATTTCACACGGTCTTACTCTCGTCCACAGGCACAGCTCCAAGAGCGGAACGACCCTCAGCAGCTGCTGTTAGATTCCAAGCACATGTTTCCTGTTTTGTTTCCATTTAACCCATCCTCGCTGACCATGGACTCAATCCACATCCCGGCCTATCTCAATCTGGAGTTCCTCAATGAGGTCTGACAAGGTGCAGTCCCACCTGTGGCTCCATTTCCAGTGAGAGCAAGAAGGAAGCGTACTATAAAGTGAATGTAAGAGTCTGTTAAATCTGTAAAAGTGGATCAGATCCGAGACAGCCTGTGCAGAGTACTGAACTCTTCGGAGTAAGACATATCTGTCATTATTTTTTGTACCTACTGCTCAGAATAAAAACACTTGAAATATGGAAGATTTTAAGCATATGATTTCAGTCTAAACAAATAGACATTATAATAACCTACGACCACCAAGCAGTCCCCGTGGCCATATAAAGGGTGCCAATCTGTAAAGTGGAAACTGCCTAGATTTGCTCTTTGCATATACCTGGAGGATGCCCAAAGTAAAATATTAAAAATATGTTACATAAATTGCCTTCAGAGGATTTTTAACAAATAATGGTACTAATCATGATACTGTCGCAGAGCAGGTAACGTTTCCCCAGGTCAGTGAACCACAGGTGCAAATGAGTGTGGGGGCAGATGTTCTGAGAACAAACATACAGGGCTGTTGGGCCTTCTAGAAAAGTTTTTCAAAAGTATTTTGAATGCCTGGTGATGTAACTGACCTCCAGATGTTTTGAGCACTGGCTTCTAAAACGACATTAGAAGACTCCATTCCTCATACGCTTAAACCCTTTTTGCACAGACCTGGGTTTACGGAAGAGTTGTGCTAAAAATGCTGCAGTCCCAAAATTAAAATGTGAACAACATGGAAAGATAGGCTTTGTTTCCAATGCTAGTCCATGTGCTTCCTGAGCCCACAAAACCTTTCACGAAAATCGACATAGTCTAAATATTAGAAAAGAATGCCAACTTTTGTCTTATTTACAGATTAAAAACCAAGTCCATATGAAAGCCTATAATCCCCTCACGCCATAAAACCTCCAGTAAGAGCATCACATAATACACTGTAATTCCAGGTAACCAGAACAGTGAAGAAAAACAAAGTTGTCTTTAAAACCAAAGGTTGAAAAACCTTTAAAAAAAAAAAATCAATTCAGGGATTATCATCCTCCAAGTGTTTTTTGGGGTGTGTGTATGTATGTGTGTGTGTGCTTTTTAAGGAATGAGAATAGCTTATGTCAACCCTCCCTTTTCAGATTATTTTCAACATCTTTTAAGTTGACCACATAAACATGGTAAATATCTCTGCTTTGAAAAAAGATTTAAAACAGAATATTCACTGAAATATGAGATTTTATGTTCATTGCTTTTATAGGGTTTTTTTTCTTGCCTCTTCAACAATAGCCATTCAGCTAGAAAACCCTGCCTATTCTCTACACCCATTTCTGCATGATTTTTTCCGTATTTCTAGTAGATAACAGTATGTTGTTCCCATGACCAGAACAGATGGTGTTTGCAAATCTGAGAAGAGCTGCTATATCACATCAAGAAGATGATATTTCTCCATGAATGGCAGGTACAACATCCCCCTGCACACACACGCACATGCGCACATGCACACACATGCACCACCTGTTACTCAGCCAGTCAAAAGGCTCCCGGAAACACATGACGCCCCAAGCCCTGGACAGTCCTGGGTACTGCGTCCTTACAATTCCACCCCTGCCCTTCCTGTGGCTCCCGGGGCAGAAGAGGCCCAGGTCCTGGGCAGACCCTGGACCATCACATCCAAATCTGGGACCCCAGCAGGACCCCTCCAACAGCAAACATGCTGGCTCCTCTGGGGCATCTGCAGAGCTATGCCTATCCTCCCCCACCCCCGTCACCAGCTACGGCTATGTCATCTGGAACCTACAGCACACCCTCTTCCACCCCAACACTGACTTCGTTGGGAAGGCCAATCTGCACCTACTGAGTCTGTGGCTACCTCTTTAGAAAAGTTGTACTTTATCTTAAAACTGAGTTTCTCATGGAAGGACTGACCTTAAATCTTCAAGATAACCCCAATGGCCTTCTCTAGAGTGTTTTTAAAGAGTTTGAAAAGTGGTGATTCCATAAATGCCATGGCTTGCTGTCCTTCCATTCTTATACCCTCATTCTTTCCATCTCTGTGGGTCACTAGTGCTGTCACTGGTTAATCATTAGGTGCCAAGGACTCAATAAAAGCTTGGCAGTTAGAATAAATGGGGTCGGGGTGGGGGGTAGTCCTCTACTTAGCCCAAGAAATGGCACATTTAGATCTTTTCCAGAAGAGAGAGGCTTTTCACTGGAGCTGTACCTAATTTATATACGCTTTAAAAACAAGCAGTCTTTCATAGAGTACTAACAACAAAGAAATATAGTGATTGGTTGATGTTCAGTCGGCCCAGTTAATTAACACTTGGAGGCTGGAAGAAACATCTTTAGAGAAACTTGAATCCCTTGTTAGCATTTTTATTCCTTGCCTTTTTAAAAAGATTTTATTTATTTGAATGCCTGTGCATAAGAGAGCATAAGGGGGGGGAGAGGGCAGAGGGAGAAGCGGGCTCCCTGTTCAGCAGGGTCAGTCCCAGGACCTGGGATCAAAAGCAGCTACTTAACTGACTCAGCCACCCAGGCGCCCCTATTCTTTGCCTTTTTAAAGTAAACGTTTTCCAACTTCATGGAATCAACGACTTTATGTACCCTAATTCGACATCAAGATTTCAACTCTGCACTAGATACCTGTATTTATTTATTTTTTTTTTATAAATTAATTTTTATTGGTGTTCAATTTACCAACATACAGAATAACACCCAGTGCTCATCCCGTCAAGTGTACCCCTCAGTGCCCGTCACCCATTCACCCCCACCCCCCACCCTCCTCCCCCTCCACCACCCCCAGTTCATTTCCCAGAGTTAGGAGTCTCTATGTTCTGTCTCCCTTTCTGATATTTCTCACACATTTCTTCTCCCTTCCCTTATATTCCCTTTCGCTATTATTCATATTCCCCAAATGAATGAGAACATACACTGTTTGTCCTTCTCCGGTTACTGTGGCCAAGTTAAAAAAGGGTGTTGCCTGAGTTCTTCTCTGGGATTTTGATGGAATCTTGTCTCACATTTAGATCTTTCATCTATTTTGAGTTTATCTTTGTGTATGGTGCAAGAGAGTGGTCCAGTTTCATTCTTCTGCATGTGGATGTCCAATTTTCCCAGCACCATTTATTGAAGAGACTGTCTTTCTTCTAGTGGATCGTCTTTCCTCCTTTATCGTATATTAGTTGAGCATAAAGTTCAGGGTCCACTTCTGGGTTCTCTGTTCTGTTCCATTGATCTATATGTCTGTTTTTGTGCCAGTACCACACTGTCTTGATGAACACAGCTTTGTAGTACAACCTGAAATCTGGCATTGTGATGCCCCCAGATATGGTTTTCTTTTTTTAAAATTCCCCTGGCTGTTTGGGGTCTTTTCTGATTCCACACAAATCTTAAAATAATTTGTTCTAAGTCTCTGAAGAAAGTCCATGGTATTTTGATAGGGATTGCATTATACGTGTAAATTGCCCTGGGTAACATTGACATTTTCACAATATTAATTCTGCCAATCCATGAGCATGGAATATTTTTCCAACTCTTTGTGTCTTCCTCAATTTCTTTCAGAAGTGTTCTGTAGTTTTTAGGGTATATTTTGAGAACCATTTGAATGGTAAATGGTTCTCCAACCTTTTATTTTCAGGTTGTAGGTGTCCTTCTGTCTAAAATGAGTCTCTTGTAGACAGCAAATAGATGGGTCCTGTTTTTTTATCCAGTCTGAAACTCTGCGCCTTTTGATGGGGTCATTAAGCCCATTCATGTTCAGAGTTACTTGAACTTCTTCTTAAAGGGGAGTTTTAAGAGTCCCCCTTAAAATTTCTTGCAGAGCTGGTTTGGAGGTCACATATTCTTTCAGTTCCTGCCTGTCTTGGAAGCTCTTTATCTCTCCTTCCATTTTGAATGAGAGCCTTGCTGGATAAAGTATTCTTGGTTGCATGCTCTTCTCATTTAGGACCCTGAATATATCCTGCCAGCCCTTTCTGGCCTGCCAGGTCTCTGTGGAGAGGTCTGCTGTTACCCTAATATTCCTCCCCATGAAAGTCAGGGACTTCTTGTCTCTTGCTGCTTTAAGGATCTTCTCTTTATCTTTGGAATTTGCAAGCTTCACTATTAGATGTCGAGGTGTTGAACGGTTTTTATTGATTTTAGGGGGGGATCTCTCTATTTCCTGGATCTGAATGCCTGTTTCCCTTCCCAGATTGGGAAAGTTTTCAGCTAGGATTTGTTCAAATACATATTCTGGCCCTCTGTCCCTTTCGGCGCCCTCGGGAACCCCAATTAAACGTAGGTTTTTCTTTCTTAGAGTGTCATTTATTTGCCTTAATCTGTCTTCATGGTTCTTTAATTGTTTATCTCTTTTTTCCTCAGTTTCCCTCTTTGCCATTAACTTGTCTTCTATGTCACTCACTCGTTCTTCCACCTCGTTAACCCTCGTCGTTAGGACTTCTAGTTTGGATTGCATCTCATTCAATTGATTTTTAATTTCTGCCTGATTGGATCTAAATTCTGCAGTCATGAAGTCTCGTGAGTCCTTAATGCTTTTTTCTAGAGCCACCAGTAGCTGTAGAATAGTGCTTCTGAATTGGCTTTCTGACATTGAAGTGTAATCCAGATTTTGTAACTCTGTGGGAGAGAGGGCTGTTTCTGATTCTTTCTTTTGAAGTGAGGTTTTCCTTCCAGTCATTTTGCTCAGTGCAGAGTGGCCAAAAACAAGTTGTATTGGGAAAAGGAGAAAAAGAGAGAGAAGGCATCCCCGCCCTCCTGGGTCCTGCTCTAACTCCCTGCGGGCCCCTTTCCGCCCGGGAAGGTTGGTGCAGCTCCTGCTTCTCTGGGACGGGGCTCTCCTGTCCTGGGGACACTCGCCCCGGCCTCAGCCTGGCTCCTCGCGGGGCCCCTCCCCCTCGGAGGCCTTTTGTTCCTTTATTTCTTTTTCCCCGTCTTCCTACCTTGATAGAAGCGCGGACTTTTCTCACTGTAGCATTCCAGCTGGTCTCTCTTTACATCTCAGGCCGAATTCGTAAATTTTCAGGATGGTTTGAAGGTTATCTAGGTAATTTGGTGGGGACAGGTGATTTGGGGACCCTGCTCTTCCGCCATCTTGCCCCTCCTATTTTTTATTTAGAATTTAGCTGACATCCTTCTCACCACGTGCCTTGGGCAGTTACTAAGAAAACTGACTTGTCGATTATGTTGACAAGTTGCCGTGGGAAGAATTTTAATGTTCAGCATCATGGTGGAGTTTTGACTTGTCTCCTGAAACAATAGAAGCATGTGAAAGATTACTTAAGCACCAAATATTTATAAACAGTCTGTGTTGTCTGTCTCTGGGCAGTAATGTATATGATGTGTACATATTAGTAACTGTTGTTGGAGCTGACAAGCATGTTCCTCTACTGTCTTTTCCCTGGGTCACCCTGACTGCAGTTAGTGTATGGCCCCTGGACAGCAGATGAGACCCGAAGATAATTTCTCCCCTTTCCATGGAGCGTGTCCTTGGGGACACTAGAGTCCTTGATTCTCCTATACTACGGAATGTTCAGGCTTCTGTAAAAACAAGACAAAAGACAAAACTCAGAACTTGGATCACTTAGAAAAAAATTAATACTGCTACCATCAATTCACCACCCTTTACTTAGAGCCATAATGCACTAAGATTGTAGTAAATAAATTAGAATTTTTTTTTTTTTTTTTTTTTTTTGCCTAGAATATATGTAGTCGTCACATGTTTGACCTCCTTCTAGGCAGCCAGGGGTATCCTGAATTGAAGCACTTGTTTCTTGCCTAGGGGACTGATGATTACTACAGCGTGACAGCATGGGGTGGGACCCCGTTGTACATCCTCATAGAATATTCCTTTGCGGTCAGTTTCTCAAATTAATTTGCTGCATGAGCTCTATAGCCAAAATTCATTTTTTTTGATACACATTGGTGCCCTAGAGAATTAGTGGGTATAGAAACATTAGAGGTTAATGGTAATGACACATATAGGACTGTGTTTTCCTCTTATTAGGCTGATACTAAAGATTGGTTTTCCTAAAGAAATTTCTAATTCTAATAAAGGCGATCAATCAGGAATGATGTTAAGCTACTTTCTAAAATGATATTATATCAGAATAACCCAGGTTTGGATATAACATTTTGCCAGCAACTGTTGTTTAGATGAAAGACTGCTTCTCTGAAGAGGATTCACATCATATTCTGGGGTGAATCTAACATTGTAAGAAGAAATGCTACTGATAAAAATATTTTTTTTCATTTTGAGCAAATCTGTAAACTACACCTTTGTTTATTAAAAAATGCTTGTATTACTATAATAATTCAGCTGTGGATAAAAATTTGTGGAAAAATAAATACTTTTGAATAAGGTGGTGTGCCAAATCGAAATGAAATTTAAAACTGCAGCTATACATTGGCTGAAAAGTTTATTTTTAATGCCTGCTTGAGCAACTTCATCCTAGGGCCTACAGTCAAACATACAGCATGATCATTTAAACCAGGGGCTGGTGAACTTCTGCCTCTAGTTGGAGTTGGGGAAAAACTCTGAGAGTTTTTAAATAAGACTTATTGAGCAATCCCTTCAAAGCTGCAGAATTCAAACACAGTAGTTTGGTTATTGGTTATCTTTTTTGATGATTAGGTCAATGGCATAGTACACAGAGCCCAGAGATAAGACTCATGCTCACATATAACTTTGCATATGGTGTTGAAAAATATTTACAGGATCTGTATTATGAGTTTGTAACATGAGTGAAACAATGACAACCTGGAGAAATATCACATTTACAGTTAAGAATCAAATACCACCAAGCTGTTGTGGGTTGTCTCCAAGTCTATCTCCATAAAGAATCAAATCTCAACAGGTTGCTTGGGAACTGGACAAGCTAATTCGAAAACTGATATGGAAGTGCAAAGACCCAAGGATAAGGAAGACCTTCCTTAAAGAACTTTCCTAACAAGTATCAAGACTTAATATAAGACTTTAGTAATTAAGATGTGAGGTGTGTGGAAAGGGCAAAGGGAGACCAACTGGTCAATGAAACAGAAAGGAGATCCCAGAAACAGAACATACATAAATATGGGTAAGCTATTTCTTACCTAGAGGAGCAATACACCACAGTCACTTGGAAACCTTTAAAAACAGTGTTACCAGCCCCACCTGTAGGTATATAGAATAAGGCATCTCCGGGGATGGTGCCCTCAAACACCCGTCACTAGGAACCACCATGAAATATCTCATGATACAGAAATACTGGTCAGTGAGCAGTTACCTCTAAAACCCAACCTGAGGATGGACTCGTGTGTCTAGGTCTCTTCTGGGAGAATAACCTCCCTCTTCAGGAAAGCCTTCACCTCATACCCAGGGAGGTCTAGGCTTACCATCAAGGCCTTAACAGGAAAACTGAAGAACCAAATTTCCCACAAGACACACTTGACTACTTAGAGTTTGAGAAAGCAAAGCAGCCAACATCCAGAACCTGGTCTGGCACTTTGAGCGAGGCCTGGGTAGTGTGAGATGCTGAACTGGCCAGGGTGTCCTCCTTTGGCACCCAATCTCACAAAACACCAGCAGCAGGGCAGGTTGCTCTGGGCCTGTGATGAAATGAGATGACACAAGACCACTTGAACCATCTGCAAACCCTGCAAATCTGCACCCTGCCCTTCCAGCTAGTCATAAATGCAGCCTCCCCAGCAGCCAGCCATCTAGCTTGGACCTGCCTCCTCCTACATAGGATTATATTGTCCTTTCTTCCAGACAGCACCCAGTCTAGGGCGGGACCCGGCTTCTCTGGACCCTCCCCAAGCCACCTAGGCAGCTCCTAACATGCTCTCACAGAGCTGCCTCTGTTCCCTGAGCTGTGCCCCCAGGAGTGGTCTCCCTGTTGCAACCTATATCAAACCCCACACAGAACTGCTCAAACACAGGTGTGTTCCAGGACGAATCCTGCTAAAGCGCATTTACACAGCGTCCAACACCACCAGCATTTTTCAGAGTAAACTTAGAACCAAGGAAGTACAGAGATTTGCCTAAGGCTATGTTACTTATGAAATTCTAAACCTTGATGAGGATATAAATGCTGCAAAGTAACTTTCAAACAGGTGGAGGAGAAAGACACACATACACCCTTCAGCTAAGTCGTGACTAGGTGGGAAGGCTGCTGCATGCAGCACATGAGATTAGGTAGGTGCAGAATGCTGACGGTCTGCAAATCCGTGCCTGTTTCGCCCTGCGTTTCCTTTCTTTTGTGCTTGTTGGGTAACCGGAACTCTGGAGAGCAGGTGTTTGTTGTTAAGGGTAATAATTGCCTTTTTAATGATCAGAAATTGAAGTTGTCACCAAAGCAGACTGACAGCACATATGTAACTCTCCAAACTACTCATGATTAGTAAATCTGCATGTTTCATTCATTCAAATTCATGTACTCACTTTTGAAAATTGTCCTAGCCCCTACCACCTTCACCAGCTTTCCCCCATTTCCATTTCCATGACAGGAGCCACCGGCCGCCTGTGCTTCCACGGGCTTAAGCTACCATCAGTTTTGAGAGCTATCGGAAGTTTAAGCATAGGAAGAGTATCCAGAAAAAGTGAGAGGATGAGGCCAAGGCTGGATAGTTCTGAAATTCTATTGAAATTCTAACGCTAGAATTTACAGATTTACAACAGTCACTGACTTCAGTTTTATGCTAATGCTACTTCTTTTTCCCAAAAGCTAAGTACAGAAAGAAATAATACATTCTTTTTAAAGCACCAAGGGGGTCTGGGGGATCCCTGGGTGACTCAGCGGTTCAGCACCTGCCTTTGGCCCAGGGCGTGATCCTGGAGTCCCAGGATGGAGTCCCGCGACAGGTTCCCGGCATGGGGCCTGCTTCTCCCTCTGCCTGTGTCTCTGCCTCTCTCTCTCTCTCATGAATAAATAATCTTAAAAAAAAAAAAAGTACCAAGGGGGACGTAAGGGGGGTGCTCAATCGGTGGAGCGACTGCCCATCAGGTCAGGTCTTGATCCCCGGATCCTGGAGTTGAGCCCCACGTAAGGCTCCCCACTCCCTGCTCAGTGGAGACTGTATCTTCTCTGCTTGTGTGTCTATGCTTGTGTGCACACTTGCTCACTCGCTCTCAAATAAATAAAATCTTAAAAAATTGAAAGCTAAAAGTCTAAAAATAATGACTTCACATCTCATGAGAGGTATCACATCTAGACACAAAAATTATAACTTTGATATACGTAGTGTAGTGCAATATGATTGTTATATGGTTAAACATGAAAAGGACTATATATTTTAGAAAATAATTTCAGATAATTTTGAGGCTTACTTGATTTTTTCTCTCATTCTTATATTGAGAAAGTTAAAAACCTACAGAAAAGTTATAAAAAATAGAAATGATGAGCACCATATACTCTTCATTTAGATTCCCTAACTGGTAATAATTTGTCATATTTGCTTTCTCTCTCTCTCTCTGCCAGGGCATTTATATGCATTTTTTTTTTCTGAGTCGTTTGAAAGTGAATTGCAGACATCAAGACTTTTCACCATGGTCACTTTTAAGAACAAAGGACAATCTTCCACATTAGGACAATGTAATTAACATAATCAGGAAAAGTAATAAACTATCTCATATATTTCATATAACTTATATTGAAGTTCCCCCAAATATCTCCCAATTCTATTCTTTAGAGTTGCTGGTTTGGGGTTATTTCTGTTTTTTTAGAGTTGTTTTTAATTCAGGTTCGAGTGAAAGATCCCACATTAAATATAACCGTCATCCTCCAGCTTCTTTCATCTGCTACCATTCCCAGCCTCTTTTTTTCACAACACTGACATTTTTGAAGAGTTGAGGTCAGTTGTTTTGCAGAGCATTCCCTCCATTTGGATTTGTCTGATTATTTCCTTAGGATGAAATTCAAGTCAGACATTTTTGGAGAGATCCTACATAGGTAGAGTTGTGTCCCCAAAGCCTCAAGGGAGCACGTGGTGGCAATTTGTCCCATTATCAGTGACGTTAAGCTTGATCATCTGGTTAAAGTGGAAATATTCCCGACATTTCTCTATTGTAAAGGTACATTTTCCTCTTCGTGATACTGAGATGATGTAAAATGTCCTTATGTATATTTACACTTTTTGATATAAGTAAACCTTTTACCAAATAGTTTTAGGATATGTCCATTTTGATGAATTTCTAATTCGAGAAAACTTAGTAAATCTGGGGTGACTCCCTGCCAGTGATTTGCAGGGTACTGAGTGGAAAATTGTGACACTTAGTCATGATATATTAATAAATATGTGGAAAATATTTCCAAATTGAAAATGAATAGGAATAGAACCTTATTTCTCTTATTAAAGGACATTATATCCCTAAACAGAATTTCCCCTGCATTTGAACTGTTAGAAAATTTTAATGAAAAAACCCCATCGTAACTTTATTTTTTTGGCATGTTTAGAGGGTGATATGTTATATATCCCTTTGCCTGTGTCTCTGCCTCTCTCTCTCTATATATATATAATTTTATATATATATATATATAATTTTAATTTTTTTGGCTTCAACTGTAAGATTTTAATTTTTTTTAGTTTCAGAGGTAGAGTTTAGTGATTCATCAGTTGCATATAACACCCAGTGCTCATGACATCAAGTGCCCTGCTTAGTGCCCACCACCCAGTGACCCCATCCTCCCACCCTCTCACCCACCTCCCCTCCAACAATCCTCAGTTTGTTTCCTAGAGGTAAGAGTCTGAAAACCACCATAACTTTTAAAGATCTGTTTATTTCCTTCACCCCTGTATCTCACATTTAGGTATAATTCACTTTACATTCTCTTCTCCGGTTTTTCTTTTCTTCATTACAAAACACAGTTGACTGGCTTAAGTTCATTGAGTGCCAACTTGAGATAAAATGCATATTTTGAACCTAAACAATTCTATTTTGGCTTTATGAGTAGCATTGCTTAATGCCACAAATAATTATTGAGTACCTCCTGTGTGCCAGGCACTATACCCAATGAGCAGCATTTTTTTCTATTTGCTACTCATTTTCAATTAGTATCAACATGGAATTTGGTAACAAACCTGACAACGGGATCCCTGGGTGGTGCAGCGGTTTGGCGTCTGCCTTTGGCCCAGGGCGCGATCCTGGAGACCCGGGATAGAGTCCCACGTCGGGCTCCCGGTGCATGGAGCCTGCTTGTGTCTCTTCCCCCCTCTCTCTCTGTGACTATCATAAATAAATAAATAAAAATTTAAAAAAAAACCAACAACAACAAAAAAAAACCTGACAACTCCACAGTGCCATTCATCTGATGAGGACACTGCTAAAGCAGAACTCTTGATCAGACAGGTAGTGCAAAATACCAGAGCTCCAATCTCTCAATCATGAGCTAAGATGGACAAGCCCAAGCTCATCAAAGCAATTTGGAGATGTCAGTATGCAATATGAGAGGGTGTAGGCTGTAGGACGGTCTGTAATTGCTAATAAACGTCACCGCGGCTGGCACTGATGGCCACCTATGCAGCAGCCTTTTATCCCACTTTCATCCCAACTGGCAGAGCCTGTATTCCAAGACAGAAGCTGAAAAAGAACATTTTTCCCAGCCACTTTTTCAGCTAGGTCCTGGGCATACATCTCAATTCTGGCCAATGAGACAGAAGAGAAAGATGTTCCTTCTCGATAAATGATGAAGGAGTAGAAGGCAAACTGAGCGGGAAGCACAAGCTGATGGCCCTCAACAATCCCCCAGGCAGGTGGGACGTGTGGGATTTCCCCAGGCCCTCCTGGCTGCCCTGGAACAAAGGAAAGGGAGAAACAAATGGTTAAATGATAGAAAGCATAGTCATGCAGGACAGGAGTCTCCAACAATTGGCAACTGTCTTTAATGATTTACAAGAAAAAAAGCAATCTCCAAAAACCTATAGACTCAATTTCCCAAAGCCCCCACATTGCCCTCCCCTCCACAGGACAGAACATCTTATATAATTGGTCACCCCTCCCAACCCCGGTGCAGTTCGTCCTGCCCACAGGTCCTGCCCCAGACTCTAATAAAACCACCTTTTTGCACCAAAGACATCTCAAGAATTCTTTCTTGGCTATGGACTCCGAACTCTATCGCCCCATCACCCTAAACCACATCAATAATCTTCACCTTCCTCCATCTGCACGTGGTTTTGTGCAGACATGATGCCTACGGCCATAGCAACCAGAAGCCTGGGGACTTCATGACATGGTAACACTCTTCTTGTTATGTGAAACAATAAAAAACCTTACTGTTTAAGCCATTTTAAGTCAAGTCTTCTGTAATTTGTAGCCAAAAGCAGCCCAACTGATAATTAGCTGTAAAGGAAAAATAAGCCTTTAAAGCAGGAACTATCATGGCAAAAAAAAAACCCCAAACAGGGATCCCTGGGTGGCGCAGCGGTTTGGCGCCTGCCTTTGGCCCAGGGCGCGATTCTGGAGACCCGGGATCGAATCCCACATCGGGCTCCTGGTGCATGGAGCCTGCTTCTCCCTCTGCCTGTGTCTCTGCCTCTTTCTCTCTGTGTGTGACTATCATAAAAATAAATAAAAATTTAAAAAAAATTAAAAAAACCCCAAACAAAAAAAACTAAAACTGAGTTACTAGCTGTCAGACCCAAATCAAGTTCAAATGCCCCAAGGTTTCCATTATATGTAATAACTTAACTCCTATACCTAGAATGGTACTAGCTCTGTTGTACCCTCAGAAATGATAAAAATAGTCACTCAAATTGTTTCCTATGGGAACCCTGGTTGAGAAAAGATGAACATTCAGTACTGACACGTTGCCTCACCTCTCCACCTGAAACTACTTTATCTCACCCACACACCCTCGCCTGCAGAAAAAAGCAAATAAACCTTCAGAACCTGAGCCACCATATGCTGGAAAATATAGAAAATCACCCTTAACAGGATTTTTTCCCAAGTACTTTTATTTCTTCCTCCAAGGAAGATTCACTTAACATTTACTTCCTTTCATTTTACATAACATGTACCTTAGCTAATGATCCCGGTAGGCTTTTCTACTCCCATTCCTATATTCCCCATCCTGTAAGTCCTGAAGACAACAGGCCTTGGGCATTTAGGAATCAAGGGCTCAAAATTCTAATTTAGCAATTTTCTAGATTAGAGAAATCTGGCAAGTTCTTTGGTTTCTCTGGGCCTAAGCTTTGTCATTTATAAAATGGGAGAGCGGGGGAAGAAAACCCATCCATCTCATGGAGTTGTAGACTCTCCCTCAGTTAGGATTTGTCCCATGTATATGAATTGTATATTATTCCATCTTATAGATCACCTGGGTATAAGAATTATAAACCGTGTATGTAAGTGCCTGGCACAATGCTGGGCACACAGTTTCCAAAAAATGGTAGCTTTTACTATCTGTTCATCATCCAGAAAATATAGGTGAAAAAAATCATCTGGTAGGTGGGAAGCTTTGATTTCAATCAGAATTCTATTGACTAGGGGATCCCTGGGTGGCGCAGCGGTTTGGCGCCTGCCTTTGGCCCAGGGCGCGATCCTGGAGACCCGGGATCGAATCCCACGTCAGGCTCCCGGTGCATGGAGCCTGCTTCTCCCTCTGCCTGTGTCTCTGCCTCTCTCTCTCTGTGACTATCATAACTAAATAGAAAAAAAAAAATTAAAAAAAAAAAAGAATTCTATTGACTATACACACTTGTGGGAAAGTAGTTCACTTAAAAAAAAAAAGATTTGGTTTATTTATTGGACAAGAGCACAAGCAGAGCTGCAGGCAGGAGCGGGAGAAGCAGGCTCCCTGCTGAGCAAGGACCCTGGGATCATGACCTCAGCCAAAGGCAGATGCTTAATTAACTGAGCCACCCAGGCACCCCAGTTTACATTTTTTTAAAGTTAATAACCCTCAGAACTTACCTATGTATTAAATCAACTATCAGTTTCCTGCATTCACTCAAAGTCACAGAAAGGGAGAAAAGGAATAAATGTGAGGGTCAAATTGCAGTAGATGGTGAGAAAAACAATGGGTGATGGGGAGGTGGAGGGAGGGGAATAAAGTGATTTTTAGTGATGATGTACATGTATTAATTACGATTTTATAGCTGCTGATAGAATAAGTTACAAGAGTGTAAGAGTATACACTTACGAAATTCAACGAATTTAAGATTTACAAGTTACCACATGGAAATCTTGCCTTAAGAAAATCCATAAATGAATATTGACATCCAACACAACCCCAGCCAAGCGTGCCCAGAGTTAAGTGTGTAACTTAATCCTTTCATCTACCATTTCACTTTCCTCCATTTCAGTGACCTGAGGTCACCTGTGGCCAAGCAGGGTCCCAGAAACAAGGGATCCTTCTGAGGTGTCAGGACAATAGCCCTAAGGCTGTGTCACATTGCCCAGGCATTCACCTCATCAGGTAGGCATTTTCTCACCTTACACCCTCATAAAAATGTTGGGTAGATTTTGAAAGATAAAGGCCACATTCACAATTTTTTTTTTCCCACAGATTTTTTTTTAAGTGAGCAAGTGAAGGAGGGGGTTTAGGGGCAGAGTGGGAGAATTTAAGCAGGCTCCATTCCCAGGTGGACCTGATCCGGGGTCCCCATCTGACAACCTGAGCAGAATCGAGAGTAGCAGGCTGACTGAGCCACCCAGGCGCCCCTTATAGAACTTTTATTACAGTATATTATCGTCTTACTATCCCGTTAATCTCTTACTGTGTCCATATCATAAACTTTATCATAGGTATGGACATACAAGAAAAACACCACAGGGCTTGCTACTCTCCGGTTTCGGAGGTGCCCCTAGGGGTCTGGGACCACGTGTCTGTCTCCCGTCCCCCATAAGGGGGGGGGACTCCTGTCTTAAGATCTGCATTAGAAAAAAATAAGGTGGTTTGATGTAGAAGGGCAGAGCTCAATTGGGCAGCACAAATACTAAAATTGACGTTAGGACAGGTGTAGTTTAGAAAATACAGCAAAATGCTAACAAATGTAGAATACGTGTTGGTGTTCATGGCAGAAATGTTCCCACTTCTCTGTACGTTCAAATGTTTTCATAATAAAAAGGACAGACCGAATTAACATCCTGCAGGACGCCATCCAGAAGCCTGAAAGCAGGAATACGCGGCGCGCTAGAGGGGTCAGAGGAAGCCTCCAGGCAAAGAGCCGCGGCGGCCCGCGCCCAGGACCCCCGCCCTCCGCGAGCCCGGGCCCTGCGGACCCCCGCCTCCCCCACCCCCGCCCCCCGCGCACGGGACCCGACCCTCCCGGAGCGATCCCCGCTCTCGCCCACGCCCACCCCCGCGCCCAGGGCCCCGCGGACCCCCGCCCTCCCACCAACCCCGCCCCCCCTGCCACCCCGCCCCCCGCGCACGGGACCCGACCCTCCCGGAGCGACCCCCCGCTCTCGCCCACGCCCACCCCCGCGCCCAGGGCCCCGCGGACCCCCGCTCTCCCACCAACCCCGCCCCCCCTGCCACCCCGCCCCCCGCGCACGGGACCCGAACCTCCCGGAGCGACCCCCCGCTCTCGCCCACGCCCACCCCGCGCCCAGGGCCCCGACCCCCCCGCTCTCCCCCCGCTCCCCTCGCCCGGAGGTCTCAGTCGGCTCTCAGCATCCACTCCATCATCTGGTTCCTAGAACTCAGATTGCGCAGTGGTCACGTCATCATCGACCCGGGCTCGCCGCTACAGGGCAGGGGCCTCCCCAACCGCCCCCGTCTCCCCGCCCCGGTCCCCAGCCCCACCTCACCCCACGTTTTCATAATCCTCTCGGGCTCCGGGCCAGCGGCGCCGAGCGGAGCTCGATCATATAAGGAAAATACCGCGAGCTCACGAGGGGGCTACACTGGGGACTCGGGGACTTCCCGCGCTTCCAACCCCGACCACCGCCCCCCACCCCCCACCCCCCACCGGGTCCTCCCGGCCCCTCTCCCGCCCGGCGGCCTAGGCCTCCGCCCCTCGGCGCAGGCGCAGCCGCCCGCCCAGCCAATCCCGCGGCGCCGCCCTCTGCGCCCCGCCCCCCGACTTCCGGCCGCTCCCCGCGCTCCCCGCACTGCCCCCCGACTTCCGGCCGCGCTCCCCCACCCCCCTCCCGGCCCGCGCTCCCCGCACTCCCCCCCGACTTCCGCCCTCTCCCCGCTCCGGCCCCCAGAGGGCGTGTAGGTGCAGGGGTGCCTGGGGCGGTGACGGCGAGCCGCGCTGGGGGCCCACGGGGTGACCGAGGCCAGGACGCGGCGAACGGGCGGGGGGGGCGGGGGGGCAGAGTGGGGAGGCGCCGCGCGGCTGGGCACGGCTCCCGCCGGCCCCGGGGGTGGGGGGCGGGCACCTCGCGCTGAGGGCGGCGAACCCCAGGGGCGGGGTGGGGGCAGGCGGCCGCCAAGTGGGTGAAAGGGCAGGGGCGGAGCGAGGCGCCTCTCTAAGGCGGGGGGCGGGGGGCGGGGGCCGGGGGCGCGGCCGGCGGGAGCTGGAGGGAAGCGGGGCGCATCGCCATGGCCTTGCTCCGAGGTGAGCGGCGCGGGGGGCGCGGGGGGCAGCCCGGGGGCTCGCGCGGGTCGGGCCGCGTACTTGCGGGGCGCTCGCCGCGGCGACTTGGTGCAGTTGGCCGCGGAGGGTCGAGCCCGAGGCCCGCTTGCTTCCGACCCTGAAGGCCGTCGGACCCTCCCGCGCGCCGCCCGCCGCCCCCCGCGCCCCGGTTTTTCCCAGCTGTTGGGCAAAGTGCGGCGGCGCCGTGAGCACCGCGCGGCCTGGGGCGGAGGGCTGCGTGGCCGAGGGGCCCCCGCCTCCGGAAGGGTCCGGGGTGCCAAGGCCGGTGGGGAGGAAGGGGAGCCCGCCGCCGCCGCCGCCGCCGCCGCCGCCGCCGCCCCGATTCGCCGCCTAGTGACGGGAGCCCCCCGCCCCCCGCCCCATGATCTTTCCCCTCCTGGAAGCTGCAGTCACGAAGTACGTGGATTCTCGGGTTAACTTAAAACAAAAAACTTGGGTAAACCGCCGTCTCATAACAGATGCTCACAGTCAATGGAATTTCGACTTTCAGGAACCAGAAGGACCAATCCCCCAGTTTTTTATTAGCGTGCATCCCACCCAGTATGTGGTAGATGGTTGCCCCCGAGGAATAGTTCTTTTGCTCCTATTTGACTTTTGGGGGAGTGTCTGTCAAATCAATCTGGAAACTGAAATGAATGCGGAGACCGCAGTTTTCCTTAATTTGTCCTGGTTGCTGTCTGCATTTCCTCTAATTAAATGAGTTAATATTTACCTAACTGTGATAGGATAGCAGTTACATAGTATATTGTTTTATCCCTCTTGTTTTAGTGGGATTTTTTTCCTACGCGGTCACATCATGCCTTGCAAGTCCTTTGGCAGTCAGTCCTCCTGACCTTGGTTCTGTCCCCATAGTCTGGCCTTCTCCAAAGCCTGTAGCTGGACTCACAGTCTCTAGCCCTTCTGGATTGGCTTCCTTCACCTACCCGTGTGCGGTTAAGCTGCCTCCATGTGTTTTCATCATTTGACAGCTCATTTATTTTTCTTGCTGAAAATGTTCTATTGTATGGATGTGCTACATCCACTCACCTACCAAACAACATCTTGGTTTCTTACAAGTTTCGGCAATCATGAATAAAGCTGCTATAAACGTTCACGTGCAGGTTTTTGCTCCACATAAGTCTTCAACTCCTTTATGTCAGCACATAGGAACGGTGATTGCTGTATGGTGTGGGTAGAGTAGGTTTTGTTTTAGGTTTTTTGTTTTTGTTTATTTAATTTTTATTTATTTATTCATGAGACACAGAGAGAGGTGGAGGCACAGGCAGAGGGAGAAGCAGGTTCCCTGCGGGGAGCCCCATGCGGGGACCCAGGATCGGCCCTGAGCCAAAGGCAGCTGCTCAACGCCGAGCCCCCCAGAGGAGCTCCTGTTTATAAAGTCTTTGTTTATGTATTTGACCCCACAAGCAGGGGGAGTGGCAGAGGGAGAGGGTGAAGCAGGCTTCCCCAGGATCAGGAGCCTGATGCAGGGGTCAGTCCCAGGACCCTGGGATCATGACCTGAGCTGCAGGCACGCACTTAACCAACTGAGCCACCCAGGTGTCCCGGTTTTTACTTTTTTAAGAAACTGCCAAACTGTCTTTCAGAGTGCTCATACTTCACATTCCTGACAGCAACGGAAGAGGTTTTTATTTGCTTGGCATCTTCACCAGCATCTGGCCGTGTTGGTGTTTTGGATCTTAACCATCCTAATAGCTCTGTGGTGGCCTCTCATTGTTATTTTATATTTCTTTTTCTTTTTTTTTTAATGATAGTCATACAGAGAGAGAGAGAGAGAGAGAGAGGCAGAGACATAGGCAGAGGGAGAAGCAGGCTCCATGCACCGGGAGCCGATGTGGGATTCGATCCCGGGTCTCCAGCATCGCGCCCTGGGCCAAAGGCAGGCGCCAAACCGCTGCGCCACCCAGGGATCCCCTCTCATTGTTATTTTAATGTTAGGTCCCTAATGACGTAAGATGTTGAATATATTTTTATATCGCTGTTTCCCATCGTTGTATCATCTAACAGTGAAATCTGTTAAGGTTTTTAACTGACACTTTAACTGGGTTTTTGGCTTTCTTAATGTTGAATTTTAAGATTTGTGTATTTTGGACACCAGGCTTTTATCAAATTAAGTGTTTTGTAAATACTCTCATTTTGTAGCTTGTTCTTTTCATTTCCTTTAATGTGTCTTGCAGAGCAGAAGTTTTTCCTTCTAATGATGTTCACATTATCACATTTTTATTTCATGGATGGATCAGACTATTGGTGTTGGATCTAAAAAGTTATCACCAAGCCCAAGGTCACCTAGATTTTATTCTGTATTATCTTGTAGGAGTTCTATAGTTTTGCATTTGACATTTAAAACTATTGTCCATTTTGAGTTAATTGTGAAAGGTTTAAGGTCTGTGCCTAGATTTCATTTTTTTGTTAATGTGTTTATTTTTGCATGTGGATGTCATTTGCTGAAAAGACTACCCTCTCTCTATTGAGTCACCGTTGTTCCTTTGTCAGACTTCGATGTTTTGCCCATGTTTTTTGTTTTCTTTTTTTACTCTTTTCGGATTGTAAAATTTCTGTTGACTTATGTTCAAAGTCACTGACTCTCCTTTCATTTCCATTCTTCTGTTAAGCCCATTCAGTGGATTTTTTCCATCAGATATCTTTCAGTTTTAGAATTGCCATTTAAAATTTTTTTCCCATTTTGATTTTTTTTTATAGTTTGTTTCTTTGCTGAAATGGCCTATCTTTTATTATAAGCACGTTTCCTTTACATCCTTGAACATAGTTACCATAGATAGGTGCTTTAAAATCCTTGCCTGCTAATTCTAACATTTGAGTCGTCTTGCGCTTGGTCTCTGTTGAATGTCTTTACTCTTAAGAATGAATCATATTTTCTTGTTTTTTCAATATGCATTCATTTTGGATTGTAGCATGGATATTGCGTATGAAACATTGTAGGGGGGACGCCTGGGTGGCTCAGCCGTTTGATACCTGCCTTTGGCCCAGGAAGTGACCTTGGAGTCCCAGGATCGAGTCCCACATCAGGTTCCCTGCATGGAGTTTGCTTCTCCTTCTGCCTGTGCCTCTGCCTCTCTCCTACTCTCTCATGAATGAATGAATGAATGAATGAATGAATGAATAAATGAATAAATAAATAAATAAATAAATAAATAAATAAATAAAATCTTTAAAAAAAAACATTGTAGGGACCAAATTCTGTTATGTTCTTCTAAAACATGTTAATTTATTGTTTGGTTGTCTATTTATTTTTGCAGGTGGTTAATTTGGCTGAAATCAAGTGGTAAACTCTGTCTCCCCTGTAGAGGGCAAGAGCTCAAATCTAGGTTCGGTTCTGTTAGCCTTAGCCAAGATATTTGTAGGTGCATGGGTAAGGGGTCAGCCAGATATTTAGGCAGATTTCATATATAGGATTTGGCCTCCAGCCTGTGGTCCTTTCCCAGATTCGTTCTCATTTACCAGTGGGTCACGAGCTCAGTTCTCTGATCCTTCAAGCCAGTAAGACTATGATGAGTTCCTGAGTTCTACCCATTCCTGTGGTGTAGATTGCCTGCCTTCAAGTCAGAGACTATAAATAAATTGGATGCTTACCCTGTAGTTTCCTTCTTGTATATCTCCTCCATGTCTGCCTAGTTTTGTTCGTTCCCTAAGGCCTTCAGGTAAGTCATTCTTCTAAATTGTCATGGCTGTTTGCAGAAGAGTTGGTTGGATAGGAGCATATTAAGCCATGAGCACACTCAGGCTGTAATGAAATTAGGAAGAAAACATGGGAAAGGGAAAGAAAAATGAAATAAAATACTGACATAAAAATAAGTAAACTATTACGCAAGGGGATTAGAGGACATTTAAAAATAATTGAAGAAGATAGAGTGGCCCCATCTATCAGAACAAAACATCTCTAATGCACTGAACTAATATTTATGGTCTGGTAAATATCTGAATATTATATCTAAAAATATATCTGTTCTAAATTATAGTTGTATAGGTTACTGCTAACATTCTTTTATTTTTTAAAAATATTTAGAGCATGAGCAGGGGGAAGAACAGAGGAAGGGGGAGAGAGAATCTCAAGCAGACTGCTGGGAGCCCAGTGCAAGGCTGCATCTCATGACCCTGAGATCATGACGTGAGCCAATCAAGAGTCGGATGCCTATCGACTGATGGCTAACCTGATTGAGCCACCCGGATGCCCTTCCTAACATTCTTTTAAACCATGAGTTTCTCAAAGTAGGAATGAAAAGAGAAACAAGCTGTTTTTGTTTTTAAGGATAGGTTGAATTTGTTCCACGAAAGAGATAATCTCCACTAACATAATCTGGAGAATTGTCCTTAAATATCAAGAGTGGTATAATGTTTATATGGCCTCAATTACAGGCTAATATCTTGGCACAAACTCATTGTTGAAAGTCTCATACTTTCTTGGCAAGAGTTGGAAATGTGAGCTCAGATTGTTTTGGGGTGAGCCAATCCTTGCAGGATTGTTGGGAAGATTACATAGTCTATGAAAAGTGATAAAATGTCTAGTGCTTTGTTGGCGCCTAATAAATGTCAGTGTGATTAAAATGGCTATATTGGGTGCAAGTTTTGCATCACACAGCTCTAGTGAGCGTCACACCGTCAGACTTTATGACCCTTTTTGGGGGGAGGTGGCCGTAGAGTGCTTTGGAAGGAGTGATTTTTATTTACTTGCACAAGGGCATCCCCTGGACTTAACAGTGATACCATAAACTAACAGTCTTCGTTTACATTAACATATGTTTGGATAATTCTCCTGTAGTCTTGGTGGTTAGAGTGAGTGCAGGAAATATTAGTGTATTCTAAGCAACACATTTTAATAAGATTGGCAAACTAGAATGTCTTTAGAAGAAAGCAACCAGAATTACCATCAAATAAAGAAGGGTTGGAAGAATGCCTTTTATTGGCTTCAGATCCAGGGGATTTTACAGGTTGGCTGACTCCGGATCTGGAGGGGCTACCCGTGTGAAAGGTGATCTCTCGGGGCGCCTGCAGGGCTCAGTCTGTTGGGCATCTGCCTTCGGCTCAGTTCGTGATCCCGGGGTCCTGGGCTCACCCGGCACTGGGCTCCCTGCTCAGCGGGGAGTCTGCTTCTCCCTCTGCCCCTGCTGGTGCTCTCTCCCTCTCTCACCTTCTCAAATAATGAATAAAATCTTTAAAAAAGGGGGGGATCTCTTTTGCCCACTTTATTCCAAGGGTAAAATATAGTGGTTCATATCATTTGAAATTTGTAGTTTAGTCATGCCACGGCTCCAAAAGTAAAGGCATATAGAATTCACATTCAAAGTGTCATCAATGCTAGAAACTATTTTTCTTTCTTTTCTCCCCCTCCCCCCAACTATTTTTCTGACTTGGGATGCATTTTGGGTAGAAGTAAGATCGGTGGGTGGAAGGCTGGGGGAGCTGGAGCAGCTGGGAGGAGGAAAGTCACCCTGCAGGCTGTCGGGTCGCGGCCCACTCCCCGCACAGAGGACCCCGCCTCCTTACTGAACATTTCCCAGCAGACGAGTGTGTTTTCTCTCATCAGGAATTTTCTGTGAGGAGAGTGCTTGGCCTCAAACTTCAAGAGAAGTTCTAATTTAGAGATTCTTTGATTCTGTGAATAGGCAACTTGCTCCAGCACATGGAAGAAGAAGCATTTCAGTTTCAAATGAATGTTTGCCTTTCGATGGACACTGAGGAACCTCCACACAGTTTTCCAGAGTGGCTGCACCAGTTCACATTCCCACCAACAGTGCAGGAGGGTTCCCCTTTCTCCGCATCCTCTCCAACATTTGTGGTTTCCTGCCTTGTTAATTTTCCCCATTCTCACTGGTGTGAGGTGGTATCTCATTGTGGTTTGGATTTGTATTTCCCTGATGGCAAGTGATGCGGAGGATTTTCTCATGTGCGTGTTGGCCATGTCTGTGTCTTCCTCTGTGAGATTTCTCTTCATGTCTTGCCCATTTCATGATTGGATTGTTTGTTTCTTTGCTGTTGAGTTTAATGAGTTCTTTATAGATCTTGGATACTAGCCCTTTATCTGATATGACATTTGCAAATATCTTCTCCCATTCTGTAGGTTGTCTTTGAGTTTTGTTGACTGTTTCTTTTGCTGTGCAAAAGGTTCTTCTCGATGAAGCCCAATAGTTCATTTTTACTTTTGTTTCCCTTGCCTTTATGGATGCATCTTGCAAGAAGTTACTGTGGCCGAGTTCAAAAAGGGTGTTGCCTGTGTTCTCCTCTAGGATTTTGATGGATTCTTGTCTCACATTTAGATCTTTCATCCATTTTGAGTTTCTCTTTGTGTGTGGTGCAAGAGAGTGGTCTAGTTTCATTCTTCTGCATGTGGATGTCCAATTTTCCCAGCACCATTTATTGAAGAGACTGTCCTTTTTCCAGTGGATAGTCTTTCCTCCTTTGTCGAATATTAGTTGACCATAAAGCTGAGGGTCCACTTCTGGATTCTCTATTCTGTTCCATTGATCTATGTGTCTGTTTTTGTGCCAGTACCACACTGTCTTGATGACCACAGCTTTGTAGTACAACCTGAAATCTGGCATTGTGATGCCCCCAGATATGGTTTTCTTTTTTAATATTCCCCTGGCTCCTTGGGGTCTTTTCTGATTCCACACAAATCTTAAAATAATTTGTTCCAACTCTCTGAAGAAAGTCCATGGTATTTTGATAGGGATTGTATTAAACATGTAAATTGCCCTGGGTAACATTGACATTTTCACAATATTAATTCTTCCAATCCATGAGCATGGAATATTTTTCCATCTCTTTGTGTCTTCCTCCATTTCTTTCAGAAGTGTTCTGTGGTTTTTAGGGTATAGATCCTTTGCCTCTTTGGTTAGGTATATTCCTAGGTATCTTATGCTTTTGGGTGCAATTGTAAATGGGATTGACTCCTTAATTTCTCTTTCTTCAGTTTCATTGTTAGTGTATAGAAATGCCACTGAATTCTGGGCATTGATGAATGGATAAAGAAGATGTGGTCTATGTATACAATGGAATATTCCTCAGCCATTAGAAATGACAAATACCCACCATTTGCTTCGACGTGGATGGAACTGGAGGGTATTATGCTGAGTGAAATAAGTCAATCAGAGAAGGACAAACATTATATGGTCTCATTCATTTGGGGAATATAAAAAATAATGACAGGGAATAAAGGGGAAAGGAGAAAAAAATGAGTGGGAAATATCAGAAAGGGAGACAGAACATGAGAGACTGCTAACTCTGGGAAACGAACTAGAGGTGGGGGAAGGGGAGGTGAGCGGGGGGTGGGGGTGACTGGGTGACAGGCACGAGGGGGGCACTTGATGGGATGAGCACTGGGTGTTATTCTATATGTTGGCAAATGGAACACCAATAAAAAATAAATTTACAAAAAAAAAAAATGTTTGTGGTGCGGCTGATCCCGGGGGGGCAGGAATGTTCTGTGGCCTAGTGGGCTCCCGTTGGCATGTGGGTGTCGCTTGCGGTGACCCTTCCTTGACACTGCCACCATGGACGAGATTTGCCTTCTGTCCTGTTACGTGACGAGGGTTGGCCATGTCCTAGTTGGGAGCAGGACCTAGCGCTAGAGTCCCGCGGTGAGGTGACGGAGGCGTGGGGACGCCGAGGGACCCGCTTGGCCTCACATGTCTCTCTCGGATGACAACAGGTGTGTTCATCGTTGCCGCCAAGCGGACGCCCTTCGGAGCCTACGGCGGGCTCCTGAAGGACTTCACGGCTACTGACCTGATGGAACTGGCCGCCAGGTCTGCCCTGTCTGCGGGTGGCGTGTCACCCGAGGCCATCGACAGCATCATCGTAGGCAATGTCATCCAGGTTAGTAGGGGGTGTGGGGGGGTGGTGTTCATTCCGTTGCTCCATAGTTACTCAAAAAATCACTTCCTGAATGGGCCTTAATGGCAAGCTAGTTAATAATAGTTAAAGGCATTTATGAGTTGAACACTCCTGTGACCCCAGAAGCAGTGGTGAGTAGGATTCAAAGCCACGCGGGCTCTGGAAGCCATAGACCCGGCCCGTTGGGGTTTCAGCCCATCGCTTCCTAAGGTCAGATTCATTTCCTTGACGTACCTCCACCTTGCTGGTTTTGTCTACACCACTGAGGAGGGCAGAAAACACTGGCAGGCCCCGCAGGGGCGCGGCCAGTCCCTGCTGGGGGTTGTGCCTTCACCGTCCGGCTTGCTCCGCCACGCTGCACAAAGCTCAGCATTTGCGGATAACGAAAGCTGTACGTGCCTTCGGAGCATGGCCTCTTCCTCCTCCCAGCCTTGCTATGACGGGCCCCGCGTGGCGTGCGGTGCCTCCGCAAGCCCTAGCGCCCCGTCGCCATTGTGCTGGCTCGGAGGGCGGTGGCTCCTTGGAGGGACCGCGGCGAAGACTGGAGGCTGCTGCTGCCCCTCGCGGGGCTCAGCTCCGAGGGCAGCCGGAAGGCCCGGAAGGGATGTGCAACTGTTCCCACCCTGGTCCCGGGCCCTGACTCAGAGATTTGGCTTCTACTAAGAACGCATTTTGTTTGCGGTGGAGTCTAGACGACTTCGTCTTTTTTTCTTTCAGTGACACTTCTTGCTTTGACATTTTTTTCTGCTTTTGAAATGAACTCTCAGTTACAAAATACCAGACTGCACTCAGATGCCAGCCATTGGCACACACTGGAGAAGCTTGCAAGTAAGGACAGGTAGCAGCAGTGGGACGTGGGAGGCGGGAGGTGATTGAAGCAGTGGTTACACATGTTCACAGGAAGCTAAAACTATCCAGCAGGTTTTGCTGTGATGGTAGCACAGGTTAGACTAACTAGTCACTACCCTGCTGTGTGGCCTCAGGGTGTTCCAGCTCAGAGTCTGTGCAGCAATACGATTTCTTCTGGTTAAGAGTTCATGGCTTGCACCCTTCACAGGGTGGCTGGAGGCCACCGGACCCATCTGTTAGCTTTTCAAAGTGCTGTCCTAGACCCGACAGATGTACAGAGAGACTTCAGGAGCTCTATACTGGAGCAACAGCATATAATTTGGGTTTCCTGGCTGGATGTGTAGCCCAGCCAACATCCAAATGCCGTTGCTGAGCTTCAGGGATTGGTAGAGCATGTCCTCCCCTTCCATATTCCTCTTGGCAAGAGGATAGACGTTGTTTTGCGGTTTGCTGGAAACGGTGTCAGCCTTTAAATTGACATTCCTTAATCTGAAACCAAAGTTCATTTTCGTTGGGAATATCTTTCCACGTAGCAAGGAAGACCTGGTGCTCCATTCTGGAGTCTTCGACAAAAAACACACTTACTGGAGTGAGGCAGTTGAGTATTGTTTTTCACAGCCACCCGCAGGTTATTCAGGGGACCATCTGAATGGTCCTAAGGTATTCAGAGGCAGGGAGACATCAGGGCACTGATTTGGCATCAGTGGGGTATGGTTGGCCAGAGGAATGCTCCGGTGATGACACCGGAGCCACTGTTGTTTGACTAGAGTACAAAGTCTGTCATGTCTGTTGAGCTTTGTTGGTGAAGTTCATTTCCATACAGGTGTGCCCTTGGTGGTGAATACATGTTCCAGAAATCTCCAAGCCTGCTCCTTCCTGCAGGCAGCCAGACAGCCTTAAGATCCACACATCCAGTAGATCCCCTGCCTGTTCTGTGGAGAATGCTGACAGGTCATTCAGACCATTGCTGACCACAGCAGGAGTAGGTGAAGGAGGCCCTGATGATGGGATGACTGCCCCACCAGACCATCTAGTCCTCCTCCCAAGAGATCCATCCTCCTAGCTGTATGGAGGACACCTGAAGCACATTGGGGGACCAGGGTCAACGCTAAAAGGTCTAGAAGGTCACCTTGAAGGGGGATAACCTGAGGCTGTTCCAGGTTGGTGGCACTGGTGGTACCAATAGGGCTGTCATCTGCATCAGTGCTCCCGTGATGTATTGACAAGTGTTTGCGATGGATTCCATGACTTCCTTCCACAGGAGCATTGGGAGGCTATGGTACACCAAGGCACAAGATCCAGTGTGGCAAATTAGCTCATCCAGCAGTGCTGGCATAATAAAATCTGTTTCCTCAGACATCAGTGGCTTCTCAAACAAGACTACTTGTTTGCCCATGACAGGGTCTGTTTGAGAGAAGACGCCAATAAATACAGCCCTGGTCTCAAAGGTCAGGATTAGTATAATCCTGTGTTGCCAAACTCAAGACTTGCTGTGCCATCTTCTGTGTTTCTGGTGGTTTGCTGGGAAACAGCCTTCCAGTGGCAGAAAGTGGAGTGAGCTGCACCTGGGTGCTTTCATCATGCAGACCCTGCGGGAGGCTTTCCAATAACACTTCTGCATTGTCTGTTCTCCAGCATATTCTCCCACAGTCCAAATCCTAGCTGCTTGAGCATCTGGTTCATCTAGGTAGTCTAAGTCCTCACTCAGAGTGGCAATGATACTTTCATACTTGGAGTGTTGGCAAAAGATGTGCCTGATGACAATAGTTGCCTTTTGGACCATGTCATTGACTTTGGTCTGGATGAGATCAAGCAGTGTGCTGACCCCGCGCTCTGCAGATTGCTCCCCTTTGATGGCACACTGTCCAGTGACCCGCACACTTTGTTGATTTGCAAACAAAGTCAACATCCACCTCTGGCATATCCCTTTAATTCTGCCAGAACCTGAGTAGTGTTGTCTTGGGATGCCAGACAGATCATGATGTTCAGTTCCTCTAATTTAACATAGATGGGATCCTTCAGATAATGCTGCCACAGCAATTTGCCACCATTGGATTTGAATCTGCCATAAGATCCTGTAGAGAATCCACTGGTCCCTGCTCTCCCACCATTTGGGCATTGATACAGAGTTTTGTTTGTTTAATATATTCCTTTTTTTAAAGATTATTGATTTATTTATTCATGAGAGACACAGAGAGAGAGGCAGAGACACAGGCAGAGGGAGAAGCAGGCTCCATGCAGGGAGTCCAATGCGGAACTCGATCCTAGGACCCCGGGGTCGCGCCTTGAGCTGAAGGCAGACGCTCAACCACTGAGCCACCTGGGTGCCCCAATACGGAATTTTGTCACACATACTGCTGCTGTTTCCTGAACATAGAGATCTTCATCCTTTAAGCACATGCAGAGGGGCACACAGGGATATTCTGTAATCTTGTCCCCCTGGATGCACCCCACAGTCCTGACAGCCAAGGCCTGAATTAGAGGATTGGGTCTCCGCAGTCCTTCACAAAGTTGTTGACAGCCGTGACGGCCATGTCTGGCTGACTCGGGGTGAAGTTCATCACATAAAGATGCATGAGCTTCTTTAATTCCAGATTGTCGGCTTGCATACAATTCAGTACACGTGGAGAGAGCTGACGTCCTTGTCCACAGTTGTGGCAGCAACTCTTTCTTCACAGCCTCCTTCCTTCCTCTTCTTTCTTTTCCTTGTTGAGTTCAGCCTTCAGTTCAAAGATTGCTCCTTTTTCATTGGTTGTGAAATACTTGGACTCAGTCATGGTTTTGGATCTTTAATGTGCACCAGGGCAGGGGAGGGGGTGGCAGAGGCAGCCAGAGAGCACGGCCCAAGTGGTGGTGTAACGTTTTCCTCAGACTTCATTCATTTCTATGCCAGAATCATATCCCATCAGATGGAATACCACATTTTGCTTTTCCCTTATGCAGTTGATAAACAGCTGAGTTATTTCCACATTTTGGCTATCATGCTTAGTGTTGCTTTGAGCATCATATACAAGTTTTTATGTAGACAGAGGTTTATACTTAGGAGTAGGATTTCTGGGTTATATGGTATCTCCATGCTTAATTGTTTCAGGAACTTTCAGACTTCTCCAAAGCACCTAGAACATTTGACAGTCCTACCTACAATGTGTGAAGGTTCCATTTTCTCCACATCCTTTTCAACACTTGTTAACCATGTTTTTGATTATCACCATCCTAGTGGATGTGAAATAATATCTTATTTTGGTTTTGGTTTGCCTTTCCCTGATGACTAATGATGATGAACATCATTTCATTTGCTTTTTGGCTATTTCTGTATCCTCCTTGGAGAAATGTCTATTCAAATCCTTTTCCCATTTGTAATTGTGTTGTTTATTATTGAGTTGTAAGAGTTCTTTACATATTCAGGATACGAGTCCTTTATCAGGTATGTGAGTTGTCTTTTATTCCATTCTAAGTTGTCTTTTCACGTCTTGGTGGTATCCTTTGAAATACGAAAGTTTTTAATTTTGATGAAGCCCAACTTATTTTTTGTTGCTTGTGTTTTGGTTGGTGTCATATCTAAGAATCATTTCCAAATGCATGGTACATGAATATTTATCCCTGTTGTTTCCCCTGAGAGTTTTATAGTATTAGCTCTTATATTTGGGTTGACTAATTTTTATTAATTTGTTGTTTGTTTTGGGATACAGGTTCAACTTAATTCTTTTGCATTTGTTGAAAATGCACCATTTGTTGAAAAGACCATTCTTTGCTCCATTGAGTGGTCTTTGCACTTTTATTAAAAATCAGCCATATGGGGATCCCTGGGTGGCGCAGCGGTTTGGCGCCTGCCTTTGGCCCAGGGCGCGATCCTGGAGACCCACGATCGAATCCCACATCGGGCTCCCAGTGCATGGAGCCTGCTTCTCCCTCTGCCTGTGTCTCTGCCTCTCCCTCTCTCTCTGTGACTATCATAAATGAATAAAAATTTTAAAAAAATCAGCCATATGAATTAATCTGTGACAAAGGAGGCAAAGATATACAGTGGGGAAAAGATAATCTCTTCAGTAAATGGTGCTGGGAAAACTAGACAGCTACATGTAAAAAAATGAAACAACCATTTTCTCACACCATATACAAAATAAACTGAGAAT